AAAAAAAAAAAAAATGGTACCCAAGTGCTGCGAGGGCTGGAAGGTTTAAACCAGAGCTTGCTTATGGATGACTGGCTCAGCCTAAGAAGGGAATAACAAAGCCGCTTGAATGACAGCTTGGATCAAGTTCATAATGACCTGGTTTGTACAGGCCAGGTGTTATGTAGATTGGAGCTTGTTATTGTGAAAAATTTTGGCAAGGCTTGCGAGGCAACAGCCAGTTCCAGCAGAGCTGGGCAGAAAGCCACAGGCTCCAGGCAGGTCCATCTTCAGCAAGATGGGCACAGCAGCCACCTCCTCCCGTACTCCGCACCTCGGGGAGCTGAACCAACCTGCCTGCACAGCATCTGGAACAAAGCTTACAAAGGAACACAGAACAGTTTCAAAACATGGCTCTGCAGGCTTAAAAGTGAGGAGGTAAGCTGGCATAAAAACATGGCACCGAGTTTTCGTCTCGTTCTTAGGGAGCAAAAATTCAGAGCAAAATTCAGAGCCTCCCAGTGCAGCATTAATGGAAAGTGAGCAAACTGTTACAGAATGTTCCTATCGATATATCCTGCATTTTTTAGGCAGTCTCTCATAATGCTTTCATAATTCATTTTTTATGTTATTTAAAGTAGTTACTGGAGTAATGCGGATGAAGAGCTGTCGAAATTAGGGCTCACCTATGATTTGTTTTCTCACTCTTCACCATTAATATGCACATCTATGATTTGTTACTGAACCTAGTTGGACTTAAATTTTATTCCTGCTTTAGATGGCCATTTTTTTTAAAAGAGGAAGACACAAAAAAAAAAAAACCCCAAACAAATTAAGGAAAATGTCTTGGGTGCATTTTTTTTTAAATAATAATTAATGTGAAACTTTCAGGAAATCTGGACTCTTTTCATCAATACTCAGCATTTATTCCTGTGCCCAAAGTTAATAAAAGGGAGTGAATAAATCAGAGCAAAGCCAGTTCGATGAATAGATCAGGTTTCTATTTTTTTATATATAATGAAGATTTCGTAGGTGTGGTGGTAGTGATGTTTTTACACCA